AATGGCGCAATCGGTTCCACCGGGTGACATCCACACTCAACCGAGTTCAAAAATTGTCTTCAACGCCCCATACGACGACAAACATACCTACCACATTAAGGTATCTCTTTATTGCTGGATTATCACATAATGGTTGATAGGATCAAGGATGTGATAGTTTATTAAAAAGCATGGTACCATAACTCGGAATACGGCGGTACCATAAACCAGAATCACTATAGATATAAGCGAAGGGTCATTTGCTGTAAGAAACTTTTCAGATTACCAATGCTGGTGGTCGTCGTATTGGTTGGGCGATCAAAACTACCAATATGCGCCGTTTAGGTGTAGATCCACCGTGTGGTGTCCTGGACCCCAAGGAAAATGTCCTCATGGCGGTTTCATGTGATACGTTTGACGCAACAAGAGAGGACATCAACAACGATCGTATCACCATCGAATGGACTAACACACCGGATGGTGCCGCTAAACAATTCCGTCGTGAATGGTTCCAAGGTGATGGTATGGTTCGTCGTAAGAACCTTCCAATCGAGTACAATCTATAAGAACGATATATCAACGATCAGATTGACACAACGATTGATATTAATAATTTTATATCATATCATCATCCATCGCAATAATTTCTTCGCTTTGCAATTCAAAAATTATTGATATGAATTTTAATATGTGTATACTTTACAATAAGTAGCAATAAATGAATTGCAGCGATGATTTTGAATAAAAATATTAAGCAAATATAGCATTAAAATTGATTTTGATGTATACATTTGTCGTGCAATATTTTTTTTTTGCATTTCACAACAACAATTTGATTTTTCTTGACTGGTAATTGCTAATATTGATATTAATGATGATTTGGTTGAAATAATTACAAATCATTCGCAAGTAATAGCTGGTCATCATCGTAACCGATAATTATCCAGTATCATTTCAAATTTTGAGTGCTATATCTACAGCTAATGATTTGCATTTATCCGTAACTGGTACTACTAGCCGCAATAATAACTTGTATTCAAGTAGTATTTTGGCAACAAAAAAAAAAACGATAATATATTTCTGAGATGTAAAGCAAATAAGTTATACTTAAAAATTATAATTTGAAATTAACACATTTGCGACAATTGATAATCTACTGCAAAAGTGCGAAAATAGATGAAAAATTCTTTAAAAAATTTCAAAATCGCTGGAAATTTGAAATGAAGATTTCTTTATAGATTTTATTAATAGATTTCTTTAGCATATACCTTGAATAATGAAGAGAGGAAAAAGTTTTGTATAGTATCAATTATATTGAAGTAGTCGAAATTATTACTATGAGATCTTCTTTCGACACAGAAAATTCCAAAACAAACATCATTAATAATTATGGATTATTATCCAGTTTCTTTTTTTCTTAAATTTGATACAAACAATTATTGATGACCTAAATTCTACTGAATAAAAACTGATCGTTTGTTCAGGAAATTTACCATTCTTATATTTTCCTTCCATTTGTTGCATATTCTTTGTTACTTACAATGAATTCCTGATTTTTTAGCATTATCATTATTTTCGATATTGTATATTCAAAGAAATTATACAATGATACTGTATTTAACCAAACCACAAAATGATACTGTAACCAAATTCTAAAATGTTACTGTATCTGGCCAAACCTTAGGACGATGCTATATCTAGCCAAATCATAAGTGCATCTAACTAAATCTTGGCATTGTACTATATTTAACCAAATTCTAAGTGAATACTATACCTCACCAAATCTTTAAATGATACTGTATTTAATCAAATCCCAGAGTGATATATCTAAATATATCTTCAAATGATACCGTGTTTAACCAAATCACAAAATAATACCGTAAGCAAACCTTAAAACGTTACCGTATCTGACCAAATCATAGAATAATAGTATATTTAGGTAAATCTTAAGTGGTACTGTATCATCTAATCAAATCTTAAGTGATATTATATTTAACCAAATCTTGAAATGGTACTATAGAGTAATTGTTATTTTCGTAATTAATATATATATTATTTAATTCTTTATTAATATTGTAGAATAGGAAGCAATGAGTCCAATGAACAGAATTTCCATTTCATTCTTGATACTATTTTTGGTAATGATAACGAATTCGGAAGCTTCTGGTTGGTGGAATTGGCATGAGCCATTGCAATGGAATTGGGGACATGACGGTGACTATCATCATCATCATCATAATCGCCATCATAAATATGATGATATTCACGATGATCATCATCATAAATATGATAGTACTCACGATGATCATCATCATAAATATGATGATATTCACGACAACAATCATCATCATCATCACCATCATGGATATAAATCTCATCATGGCTATAAATGGAATCATTGGAATTGGGATGATTGAAAATGGAAATTGGAATTATTTGTTGATTATTTTTATCTAAACAGATAAACTTTTATAAATTTGATATTGCATGAAGTAATTGTTGGCATTTTTTTTATTGTGGAATAAAGATATAATTCTATTCGTGCATTTATGGAACAGAAAAAAAAAGAAAGTTAAAATCTGTACTCTTCTAAAGATAACTTAAATCCGTACTCGATAAGCGCAATTTCGAATAGCGCTTAAAGTTATCATACCATCAAAAGGATTCTAATAAAATTATCGCTTAAAGTATTTTATATTTTTAACTAAGTTATATGATACTATCAATCTGACATGATTTCCACAAATTCAGCAATGTCGAATATCATTGTCGAAATTAAAAATAAAATGCAAGACTGATAATTCAATCAAACTGTTTCAAAAACATATTTTATTAAAATTTGATAAATTGTCAGATACTCTTTCATATATGATTATTCCCGCGACTGTTATAATATCCAAAGAGAAGCATAGAAGTGAAGAAAAAACAAAAAAAAAAGGAAGAAAAGCAAAGCATAGTATATATAAGTTGCAAGAAGTAATAATCATTTCAAAAATTGAATGGAAAAAAAAATTGAAATAAGAAAGAGCATATTAAAAAGACAAAATCACGTGATAGATTATCGTAAAAAGAAAAACCCACAAATACTAATAGAATTTCAAGAATGAAATGTTTATTAACAAAGAAACATTACGAAACTGTTAGTACTGTATTACTTAAATATTTTAAATAATCATAATGTAATGAAACAGATATGATTGTTATCAAATGTATTGTAGTAGTTGGTGTAAATTTAATTAGTGTTAATCTGAAAAACTTTATTATATTTATGTGAAATTTCTATTTTAATGAAATTATTAGTGAAAAAATAGTGAAAGATAAGAAAATTAAAACAAAGAACTAAGAAAGTTTCATCGATAAATATAAAAATAAAGAAATGAAAAATATTACAACGATAGGTATTACAATAATTGAGATCATCATAACAAGCAAGACTAGAAAAGAACACAAATAATATGCATATCATATAAATTTACGCTAAATCAGATTTGAAAAAAATGATAATTTACATCTCAATGAGTAACATTCATTTTAGATCTAATAAATTAGTCTTATCGTACTTTAGACATATAATAATAATAACATAGTAATTTGATATTTAGGAAGGATAAGCATAGACGAAAATTTTTGAATTTAATTTTTTATTTTAGAATAGAATACAATAATGGATATTAACTGGTCTGTATAAGATATTGACTAGACAAATTATCGCTTAATGCTTCCATTAGAAAAACTAAAGAGAAGGTAAATTATTTTGATTTTTTTTGTCAATGAGCTTATATTAATTTTATTAAAATCTCAAGGTGAAAATATGAATAGAAATTTCGCATACATAAAATTACACATATAACTGTGAAAATCAAATCTGAAGGTGATTCATATTTTTAACTCGAAAATTTCTTGAAACATTAAACGATCATCACAATAAGCTATTTAATAATAATTCCAAAACAATCTGAGAAAGAAAGAAAGAAAGAGATTGGATGAAAGATGAAATCAAAGTATATGAAATAGAAAATATTTTCCGATTAATGAACAGCATATTAATTTTTTTATGACTAATTTTTTAATTCGATTTTTTAATCAGTAAATAGAATATATAAATGGATATTGTAGTTATATGTAACAGTCTCGATAAGAAAGTGATAAATACGAGCAAATCGCATGATTTGATTTAATCGATATTAGTCAAACGATGTAATGTTTCCTCTTCGGGTAATGGTTGACGACGCCATCGTGAATTCAAAATGATTATTAAAATGCACATAACAAACATGAGAATGAAAATACCAAGCAGTGTACTGAGTGATTGTTGACTGCACAGTATATGATCAACGGTCCAACATCTGTAAAATTTAGATCACGAATCATCTGTAAATTTATATCACGAATCATCTGTAAATTTATATCACGAATTGATTTCAGCAGAAACATTCATAATTTTAGTAAATGAAATTTTGAAACATTCATAATTTTAGTACAAATAGATTTGATACAATTACAAAATTATAAAATACAAATATACGAGCTAATTAAGCTTTAAATTTTATAGTTTAATATTTCTTTGTTATTATTTTATTTACTATCGTAAATTATTTATAATTATTAATAGAAATTTTCTTATTATTGCTGCGAATCATAATAGTAATCTATTACTATTAACCATTTTCATTGTTAATTATTCTATCCTGTTCACTATTTATAAATTTTTACTATTCAATACACTTTTTTATTGTCATTGTTTGCATTCAATATACTTGAATATATTAAATTAGACATAAATCATACGCTTTATTTAAAAATTATGAAAATTTTATAAAAATATGAAATGAATTAAAATAGTGTGAAAGATAAGAGTCGAATTAAAATATCATGCCGCTTAAAGATAGAGTGAAATGAAAAAATCAGAAAATACACGAGTGAATTAAATTCATTGATGATTTACTTACTTATGATGCCATGCTGCTTGTTCAGAAATACCCATTACTGCTGTAATTGCAAGGAAGCATAGAATGATAAGACCGAATGTTTGATGATATGGAAGGGTAAATTGACGTATCGGTATGCTCAATCCAGGAAAGAAGAATGTCGTAAAGCCAAATAAATACTAAAATAAGACAAAATGTATGTGCAGCAAATTGCATCCATACATATCTTCTTTATTAAGTATCAAACTGTCCATTTATATAATTAGGAGAAAACTTTTCAGAATTTCTATATTAGTAATTATAATATTTCAAAACTATATAATAACTATATAATACTTCAAAAACTATTGATTTATGAATTTTAATTAAATCTTTTCGATATTATCATATTTGCGCAAGTTTTTAAACTTATTTGATATCATTTTAATCTAATTCAATGTATTTTTTTGCCTTATCATTTGAAAAATAAAAAACAAAATTCTTTCTAACTCACTTAAAATCCTCCTAACTCATTCGTCCTCTCTCATTTTTAATTTGTACTAAAATCTACTTCTTAAAATGTAAGAAATAGTCTTTTAATTAATCACAAAAGTTTAAGTTTAATTTCCATCACTATAAAAAAATTTCGTTTAAGTGCCAATTAAAAGTTTGAAATCATCATCAAATCCTACACTATATAAGTCTTACAATCCTAATTTTTCATTTTTCATTTATAACAAAATTCATTCCATTTTGTTTTACAAACTTTTTCAAAAAAAATTTTCACCACATTATTAAAATTGATACCTGGAAGAAAAAAGCGATGACAGATGTTAGTCCAACCCATGAATGTAAGGAAAACATATTTGGTAACGGATCCGGTTCACCTTCATCATTTTTATGATTATTATGTGAATCAAATACTGCTTTCAATGCAACAACAGTAAAGATAAGTACCATTGTGTGTAATGTTAAATGAAGCAATTTGGAAAAACGTTTTCGTTCATGACGAAACACTCTATAAACCAACATTCCTGAAAAAAAATAAAAAAAAATAAAACAAATAAAATAGCAATTACAAGCTAAAAACTTTAAAATACTCATATTACAAATATTGATTAGCAAAAAATAAATAACAATTTATCTTAATTATTAATGCTTACAAAAAAAAAAAGAAAGGAAAAACGAAAACAGTTTGAATACCAATGTCGCTTTTAGGATACGGATAATCAATCACGATTGATTACCATACGCTATCATATTATTTATGATATTATATTATTTATCGCATTATATAATATTATTTAATTTTAGTGAAAACATTTGTTCTTCTCTAAAACTAATAACAAACAGATGCTTTTTCAATTAACAGTTTCAACTCTGACTTATTTCTCGGTTCAGTTTGGAAGTGTATGAATATAGCAATTTTAATCTTAATATTAAATTTATAGCAGTAAATAAAATAATTAAAATTAATGAATTATTTTGTGTGCTTGTATGGGTTAAAAAAAAATTTACCATCTCCAGCCAAGAAGATCATACCCATTACCATGAATGTTGGATGATAGTGAAATTGAAGACCGCTTGTAAAACCACCATTAAAATTAGCCATCCATATTGCGACGAGAAAAATCGCAGAAATGCCTAAAATTTAATTTGAATTTCATGCGAATAAAATTTAACTTGAAAAATTAAAATACAAGTAAATTTGGTTTAAAGGAAGGAAAAAAGAGATAATTTTTAGTAAAAATTATCTTATCAACTTGTCCTGAAAATTAATTCTTCGTTATCTTCATAATTTAATACACCAATAATTAGCAATATGCAAAAGAGAATATGATGTCATTAAAATTATATGGAAAATTTTTTAGTGCTAACCAAAAACTTGCGAAGCGCCAACGATAATGTTGAACAAGCGGATACTTTGATGATCATTCAAAACTTTGAATGATTCGTGAAGTAATGACATGATGAAAATAGCGGAATGTCCTGAAAATTTAAAACTTTTTATGGAAAAAATTTTCGCTTAGAAAAAAATCAGCAAATATTCAAAATCTATCAAAATTAGCAGTTGGCAAAGTTAATCTTTCAAAATCAATATTATTATAATAACAATAGTAATAAAAGCAATAATTTAAGTAATCAATACTAAACTGTTATTTATTAACAAAAGAAATTGCCTTTTCTTATTCATCGTATAAATTCAGGCATCGATTGAAACACAAAATAATACGCTTAGATTTTAATTTGATCAGAGAACAGTTATCCTTAATTACCAACTAACTATGAAATTTTAAGTT